CCTCACAATGATGATCTGCAGATGCCCATGCCAGGTGTGCTGGACTGCATTATGAGGAACGGTGACTTTGACGAGAGCAAACAAATGAGTGACCAGGGCATGGCAACCGACACTTTCCATTCTAGCAGGAACCAGAGCTTCAGACTGCCCTGCTAACACACTTTGATTTTAGGCAACTTGCTTAGAACACTCTCAATCTTTGGCCAATGTCAATGACAATGGTGACACAGTACTGCACTTTATCACCCAGAGTTAATGTTACGAGCACAAAGAAAGAAAGCAGTAAAAATGGTATTTCTTTTAAGGGGTAGAACTTGGATAACAGCATTCTGTCAAGACCTTTTTGAATGACAGGTGGCCTACTGGTGGGTGCTGAGGACCCCAGCATTCCTGCAGAGGGCTTGCTCTGTGCATTTAGCTGCCGCCACTGAGAGCATTTGCAGCCCAGGCATACAGGAGCCAGCCAGGCTTTTCCGCACAAGGATCAACACACTTTAGACATCCCTCTGGGGAAGGGAGTTGGAGGGGCGTTATGTTCGGGAGAAGGAACTAAAGGACGGAGTTATGGTTCTGCGCAGAACTGGCTCAAAAGTTGCACTCCTGAACTGGGAACAGAGCTCAGTAGCAGAGCACTTTCCTAGCATTTGCAAGGCCCTGGAATTCCCAGACTCTACAGAACAGCCTCAGTGTCCAGCTTCACGTTTACACAGTTCATCAATTTGTTTTCACAGAGCGGCTCCAAAGTTAGCAGCTTAATCAGATGTAACCAGTAGACAATCAAATAACCAGAAGAGCTACCCCAAGAGGGGAGAGGAGGAAGAAAGCAGGACACACCGCTGCCTGACTGTCCTAATCCTGTAAGAGCCAGTCATCGCAGAACCAATTGCTTCAACCTTCTGTTGCATATTAGCGTTCAACCATTAATTGGCTCATCATGTTCCCCCCCCCCCCTTTTGCCAAGTCTTTCTGTAAACAAAGCTGAAAAACAATCTCTGGTTTCCCTAAGTATTGGGATGGGAAGGGTCACTCCTATCAGCAGATCGACCTATCTTTTTCTCATCAGCAGAACAAGCAAGGAGCGAAACCGGAGGGTTGGATTCGGTAACGGAGCCAGTTCCCAGCCTGGTGCAGGGCTTTCCAGGGGACACCAGCCGAGGTAGAGAGGAAGTGGTGTGCAGGTGGCGGTAAGCCATTTTGCTCCACCTGAGGGGTGTGGACGCTAACCACCTCACACAGATCGCCAAACCAGCACAAACCAGAGTGGTGACAAAACGCGTGCAGCTCAAACACCTCTGTTGAAAGTCTCTTGCGGAAAACAGCATCTGGTAATTCTTGGCTTGTCCTGGCGTTTTTGTCCTGGAAGACAGAAGAAGCAAGGAAGGCAGCTGCAACACTGAGCAAGGCTGGCAAAGCAGGAGGACCGCTGGGTGATGTGGAAGGGTGGGAGTCCTCGTGTTTAAATCGGTCCTTTGGGGACTTAAAAAACAAATAGGTATTAGAATGTTCACCCAAAAATTACGGGCAGTGAAGGATACAATGTCTGTGATTTGCTTCAAAATTATCTGGTGACAGCAGGAAGGGAGTAGGAGGTAGTAGGTGGGGACGTAGAGGAAAACAGGATTGCCTGTGGTTGGTAATTGTTGAAATAGGTGCGGGTTCCTTCTGCGACTGGATTGATTGTGTATTGTGTCTGCTGTATTGTGTTTGACATTTCTCATGATAACAAGCAAAACAAAACAAAACAAGTGTATGACTCATTCCAAGGCAAAACAAACTCTTTTTAGAAGAGACTTACAGACAGGACAAGCTCTCAAAAAAAGAAATAATCTATCAGTGGAGGCTCACCGTCCCCACGGGGAGAAGGGTGTGTCTGTCGGGGGCACAGGGTGAGAAGGCAGACTCTAAAACAAATGGTGTGGCTGGGCGGGGGCCACCTTCTCTAAGGGCCGTTTGGAAATTTGTGGGGATGTTTTCATGTGGTAGATTCATCGGCAGCCACTCATCGTAGGGGGCCCTGGGGTGCTCAGTGTCCTCTAATGCAAGGACATAGAGCCACCTTGCTGAATGCCAGGAATGTCCAGATTGAATAGTGCCCATGCGAGGAAACCAAAGCCCAAAGTGGCCCTTGGGGGAGCTTTTCTGTGAAGAGATTTTAAAGGCACATGGTCTACGCATGGGAAGGTCATGGCAAAGGAGGAATAGTAAAGACCATGTGGAATTGTAAGAAGTGGGTTAAGAAAGCCAAAGAGCCCAGCATGGTGGCTCACGCCTGTAATCCCAACACTTGGAGGCTGAGGCAGGAGGAATGCCATTCAGGCATTCTGAACTACATTCAGGCCATTCAGGCCAGCCTGAACTACACAGCAAGACCCTGTCTCAAAAAAAAAAAAAAAAAAAAGAAAGAGAGAAAGAAAAGAGGAGAAGAGAAGAGGAGAGGAGAGGAAAGGAGAGGAGAGGAGAGGTAGGGAAAGGAGACGTGAGGAGAAGGAAAGAGAAGACAGCCAAAGACTGAATGATTGCAGGCTTGTCAAGGTTTAAGCAGGGAGCCAACACAGACATATGGTAGAATTTCTCACAATCTAAAACATGTCACACAAACATGGTTAAAAGAAAATTGGAGAAAAATGGTAAGGAGGTATATAGACAGGAAGCACGGCCAGAAAATAATACCTATGTCCCCAGCAAGCCTGTGTTAGGACCGCTTCATCCTAGAAGACTCCGCTCTCACCCCGGACAGAAATCTCTCACCAAGAGCAATCCTCTCTCCACCCAGGAACTTCAATTTTTAAAATTTTTTAAAATTTATTTTGGAGCCACCATCAAAAAATCCTTTCAGTTTTTCTACTTGACTTCAAACTTACTGAGGCTACTTATGCTTACAATAGCACTTTTGCTGGACATCACACCTGAGAAATTTAGAAAAAGTCGAGGGCAGTCCTTACCCTGCCCCTTCCTCCTCCCAGTCTAACATATGGAGATATATATTTATCTCCATATACCTATATTTTATATGTATGCACATACAAATATATATACATATACACACACATATATACTGAAGATATGCACATACAAATATATATATATACACACACACACACACACACATATTGGAGATTGAACCAAAGACCTACAGTCTCACCCAGTTTAAATATTTTTTAATATATTTTGAGACAGGGTCTTTCTAAATTGCCCAGGCTGAGCTCAAACTTATATTCTTCCTACCTCTGCCTCCTAGAACACTGGGATTATATGTGTATACCACGCACCCAGTGCATATACGCCCAGCACATACACACTTAGTGCATACAAATAATTTAAATTGGCACATAATGATTGACTGGGAGACGTAATAAACCACAAGCCAGCGGCTCCATCATGGTGAGCAAGTCTGACCTCTAGAACACAGGTCCTGGGCTGGCCTCCCACTATCGATCGGAGCTTAACCTCAAGGAGCACGTGGTGTGGTTTAGGGATACAAGGACACATTGAAACAACACTTCCAAAAGACAGCACAAGCTTGCATCCTAAACTGGCTGCACAAATGGTGAATGTGTTAGGTCAAGCAAGGAAGAATCACTGCGGCTTTCAGCCTGCGGGGAGCACTTAGTGAAACCAGCAGGTATAACCACCATTCTGGGAGAAGCAGGTTCTCAAGGAGCACAAGAGAGGGTCCGCATGTGGAAAGTACGGAGCGGGGGCAGGAAAGCAAACCACAGCCTCCTCCTTGGCCATGGCCTGATTTCTGCTGCAACATCACCGGCTGTCCTAGCTGGTGGCAGGGGGCGCATGTTGTCTATTGGTTGTGCTCAGCCTTCAGCTGCGTTGGGCTCTCAGTTTCCAGTCTACCTGCTTTTGACTCCCTGCCGCTCAGGCCCGTGTGTTCCAGCCTCAGCTCCCCACCCAGCGCTTTTGGCCAAATGCCACCAGTGCCTTGGCCTGAAACAAGGAAATGTCTTTGGCCACACCTGGACAGCTGGCCAGACCAGTTCACAAGGCAGGGAATGAGCACAGCCATCTGACATGGGGAAAGGAACATGGGTGTTTCATGTAATCCGCTCCATGGGAGATGTGTGTCCAAAAATGTTCTCTTTTTCTCCCTTCTGTGTTGATACATTCCTTTTTACTTGTTCATTTTTTTTCTCTCCTAAAAATTGGTAGAGAAATTTAAGTTGGTGGACAAAATCGAACTTGGTAGAGAAATTTACCTAAATGCGTAATGAATGATAGCCTGGGATAGTTTTGAATAAGATTTACTAAAAGATTGGTAAGAAGCAACACAAGAAAAAATGTTGGCATGTGAAGCCCTTGCAGTATATTATCTGGAATCAACTTAAAACGCATCAATTCATCCACTCCACCAAAAGCCAGTAAATCTACATGAGTCATGCTACCAACTGTGATCAAAATAATCCTGTTATGTAATTCACTCTATGTTAGGGTCATGATATTCATGATAGGCTGAAGTAAATCATTATGTTCATTCTAAGCACAATTTTTTAAAAAAAACTATACATCATAGATCTGTTATACTTTATTTCCATTACAGTCCAGTAATTAAGAACAATTTTTTTCTTCTAGAAATTAGAAACCATGTGTTCTCCTGAACACAACTAGACAAATTAAAACGATAGCTGACTGTGTATTAAAAATACATTAAAATACCATGCAGGTGGGTCAGGAAAGAGCAAGCAGAACATTGTGTTTTTTTCTTCATCGACTGGCTTTGCCAACACCATATTTGGATTCTTGGGTTGTGCTTATCTGGGGTCATGTTGGTACAGGCATGAATGTTCTCAAATTTTGAAGGATGTGCTTGTGTGTGTGTTTGTGTGTGTGTTGTGCATGGTGTGTGTGTGTGTCTGGGGCTGTTATTGCTGAGCTTGCTGGCACACATTTTTCTTAATGAAGAACTGATAAGCTGTAAAAATTTCACAACACACAGACACTTGATAACAACAATGTTTTCCTTGGGAAAAGCAACTGGAGATACAAAGCAGTTGATGTTTAAGTTCCGTTTATTCTGTACAAAACAAGTTGAGGGGTACTGCAGAGATTCTATGAAGACGGAGTTTTCTAGATAGTTCCTAGGAAGGCCAGTTTTGACATACCATGCTAGGGTATTGATTATTGAGGTTTTAGCAAGACTGTATGTTCTCAGCTCTTTAGTTTGATGTTTCAATCATGTTCTGCCCTGCATTTTAATTCACTCAATTGCTAATACCAACATAAATTGATGAAGGGATCTCTGGGCAGTAAAGCAGAAAGAATGTTTTTCCCGCAGAGTTCTAGTAGGAAATGAGGTAATGAATCTAGGATGGTGTCTTCCACATCAACGGTTCTTTCAAGTGGTCACTCACATGTCTGTGCATTGATCGTTATGCTTTGGGCAGATCAAAGACGTGTTAAGGATGAATTATGAAGTTCAGTTCAAGCCCCAAGCACATGGAGTTTCACTCATTTAAAGCAAATGTGCTTCTTTTTGAAATCTTATTTTGGCTTCTGAAAATTCTTCAACTATGTTTAGAGAATATGTTTTCCACGCTTTGATCCTAAGAAACATAAATTACAGTAAAAACATACAAATAGCTTTGAATAACACGGGACATACATGGTAGTTGATTGTGGCATCAGCTCCGCCTGGTGTATCTCATGCCATGCCTATGGAAAACAGGTCTTTGAGCTGGGGGACAGGTCCTGTGGACAGGCTGGGAAAATACTCCTGAAGGGTAGTATCTGTGGTCCAGCTGTTTATGAGCAGCACTAACCAACCCAGCCAGCAGGTCGCCTCTGGGTCCCAGCCTGCCAGGCCTTTCCCACTGTTCATGGAGCCTGGCATAAGACTCCCAGGATGCCCTGCACTACCAAGGATCTCTTAGCTCTCACGGAACTCAGCAACAAAACAAAATAAAACCTCAAGTAAACAAACAGTTTTATCAAATAGGCTGTTTAAAACCATTTTCCTTAATCTGCTGGACAGCAGGAGAAAGAGTAGAGACAGCGGAAGCCTGTTTGGTACCCAGCCCCCCATTCTCATGCCCAGGGCTCCTGCATTCTCAGCCCTCAAGACACAACTCTGAGAGCAAAGTGTGTCGTTGTATTGATTCAGAATACGAGGGAACAGACTCACACTCCCTCCTTTTTGCTCTGGTGCTCTTCATCCTATCTGAGAAGCGCACTGGCGGATGACGGCCTTCACGGTTACATTTTTTTTTTTTTCTTTGCGGAGCTGGGGATTGAACCCAGGGCCTCGAGCACGCTCATAAGTATTCTCCGCTGAGCTGCATCCACTGCCTGACAAATGATTTTTGTTTTTGTAGTAGCACTGTGTTCCAGAAATTTCCTTCAGCTTTACCTTCCGCTCTTGCTTTGGCTAAATAGTTGTCTGCTGATTGATCACAGTGATAACAGCGCTCAGACATGAGCCCTGAACATGACTGAGGAGGTTCAGGCTTATTCACGGATGTGAATAAGCCTGAATCACCTCCCTCGGCCCACAGCTGCAAGACTTCCTTCCTCTTGCTGCTGTTCATCTTCATGTTGGCCACCAGGCCCCAGGGGGCAGGCTGGGAAGCTGCTGTGGACTTTCAGCCATGGTAAGCGGATGCCCAACTCTGGAAGCCCTACAGAATCAAGGAGACCTGGATGGAGAGGGTGGTGGGGAGAAGACACTCCTCCCCCAGAACTGTTTCTGCAGAAACCTCAAAGGCCCCGCTGCTCTGTGCTTGTCTCCCTCGCTCACCAGAATGCCTCATAGATTCACCTAAAAGTGGTTGTGTTTTATGTAACAGTAACTTGTAGAGAAGATGGTCATGAATTTACACATATATTTTGGGATAGGCTTTTTTCAGAGTCTTTGAAATACTTCCAGCTACCAGAGTTGTTGATTCTTACAATGCTGTAGCAGCATGAGTTTTAAGCTTGGGGGATGAGTCCCCATCCGAAGTGTCAGTGAGAAGTACTGGGGGGAACCAGAAGCCAAGGACACTGGAAGGGATGTGGGCCTTGAACCTTGCCAGGGATGGGAGACTCTCCCAAGTAGATGTCACAGTTCTTGTTACTTCCCCCCTCCCGGAACACTCTGAGCAATAAAGGAACTGTGGAGGCAAGGCCCAAGTGCCTTATATGATGCCAGGCACCCCTCACACAGGAAGGCAACGGGAATGGGCAGCCATGTTGTGCCGCACAGGCCTCTGGGAACGGAACGCTTTTGCTACTGCATGCTGCTGGATAATTCTCTTGTCATCCACGCTACAGGGGGCTTCCTGGGAGAAGAACTATTTCCTGTCTCAGGCAAGAAGCCAGTCCACCCTCAAATCTGAGAAGATGTGGTGGTTGGTAAACAGGGTTTAATTCTCTCATTCACCCACTGCTCCCCTCCCCCCTGCACTGAGGAAACAGCCCAAGGTTAGGAATCAGGAAGTTTGGAGACTGGTTCTGCCACTTCCAGACTGTGGGGCTTTGGGCAAGCTGTTTACCTTAACTGTCAGATTTCTCCTTTGTCAGGCGACTTATGTGAGCAACCTTCAGAGTTCACACCTAAGATGGAGCATTCTGCCCTCCTGGTAGAGTCTGCGCTTCTTGTGTGGGGTTCGGGTGAGGTTGGCGTCATTTGACCTACAGTGGGAAGAGCAGACAGTTACTGGAGAAGGAAAGAGAACTACACTGGGAAAGGATGAGAAGAAGGAGAAAGACAAAAGCCAAAAGGGCCCGGGAAATCAGAGAGTGGCGGGGTGAGGAGGAGCAGTTCCGGGAACAGCTGCGGGCACGGGATCTATCAGAAAGAAGGAGCGCTGGGGGCCTTTGTGGGTATTATTGTACTTCCCTTTAGCATCGCTAGATACTTCCATTAAATAATCAAATTATTTTATCACATAGATTATTTAGAACTATTTTCTTTTATCAGCTTAAGAGTGAAATAAGGGAAGTACCTGGAAGCCTGTTAGGTTCCTTTTCTGTGCTCCATCCTAACTCCCAGCTATAAACACCTTTGGGACCCCACACTCCCAGCGGTGACTGCTGCCACAGGAGCGGTGTCCTTATATGTCAATGAATTCATTGTTTTCTGAGCTGTTCCCAGGTTTCCAGCCTGAAGGCTGACAGAGAATTACCCACTCTTTTGATTTTATTGTCCAGGGTCATGGGCGCCCAGAGGTGTGACGGGCAGGTGACCCTTCTCTGGAAAATCCCAGGGTAACAGGCGCAAGCTTCCGAGAAACTCCACTTATGTTTCTGGAAGTCTCTTGAATCCAAAGGAAACCTCATAAAAAGTCAGCTGAAACATTGTGCACTTAAAAACACTTCCAACACTTCCTGATCTTTCATCAGCAGCAAATAATAAAACGGGGATAAACGAATAGAGTTGAAGGAAATATCATTGTTTCTACCTGAGGACAGGTAATATTCTGCCACTGTGAGCTGACAAGCTTTAATGGCTCATGCAATTATCTGAACAGATAATTTTCAAAACTTTTCCCTTTTTTTGTCCTATAAGATTTCGTTTCTTTTAGTGATTCCCCCAAGTGCAGTGAAGTACTTTTATATAGGACTTATATTTAGAAATAAAGCTAGAGGAATTCATGAAGATTGAAGCATTGCTTTATTTCATTTTATTTCTGTTTTGGAAACTAGTCCTATCAGCTTTCATTGCATGATTTTTCTGTGTCCTCATAAAACACAAAGCTAAATAAAGGAGAAAGAAGTAAACTTTGCCTCTCATGACCCAACTTCTCACCCCGTCACGTTTGCAGGCCCGGCAGGACACCGTCGTTCGCTCACCGCCGTGGTGCCCGGAACTAACTGTTTCACCCTCGTGTTTGTGTGGGATGAAAATAAATTAAATCCATTGGAGCATTTGCCTGTGGAGCAGCAGGGCCCTGATGGGGTTGGAATGGCATTTATTTATTTATTTAAATACTTATTTTTGTGGTGCTAGAGATTGAACCCAAGGTCTTTGCACTGAGCTACACCCCCAGCCCCTTTTTTAAAATTTGTTTCTAAACTTGGAGATAAGGTCTTGCTAAGTTCACTAAGTTGCCCAGGTTGGGCTTGAACTTGTGATCCTCCTGCCTGAGGCTCCCAGAATGATGAGATTGCAGGTGTGCGGCACCACGCCCAGCCGGAGCAGCATTTAGAGTAACAAAGTCCTTCACGCCCAGGTCTTTCCACACATGTGGACAGAATAGCAGACCTGACCTATATTCTGTGGCCCTAGGGAACACGGAGCACCTAGTCCCACAGTCATAAAGATTTACTGCAGGGACCAGCGGCAAGAACAAACATTTACTGAAATTCTTCCCACTCATTGCATGCATTCTCACGAGAGCATGGGCTGTTGGAAATGTGTGCCGTGGGGCTTAGGGATGTTTTCAAAGGGAACAACCACACTGGCATTCCTGTCTCTATCTAAGGGGTGATTCCCACACTACTGAAAAGGGATCGTGATACATATATTTTTTTTCTTAAATAGAAAAAGTAATAAAGCTAGTGTAGAACATTTAAAAATATAGAAGAGAGATAGGAAGAATAAAATCACCCAGAATTATAAAATTTTAGTGTAAATCATTTTGGGCTTCTTAGATGTACATTTATGCTTATGGAATATATATGTGTGTGTGTGTGTGTATAGTAAGAATAAAATGCCATACATTTGCTTGGTAGACCAGTCTTTTAAAATTAACCACAGAATGTGACTATGTTCCCAGTACATTAAGTATTATTCTAGGCCACCAGCTCAGGACCCCTTCTGTCTCTCTTAGACAGAAGCTTTGCTTTCTCTCAATAAATACTTCCTACACTTCAAAAAAAAATATTATTCTATATCAGGATTTGTCTTTTTGAGACAGGGTTTCACTATGCAGTTTAGGCTGGCCTTGAACTCACTTTGTACCCAGGCTGGCCTTGAATTTAAATCAATCTTCCTGCCTAAGCCTCCTGAGTGCTGGGATTACAGGCATGTGCCACCACAATGGTCTATATCAGGATTTGAAGTAATTGTATACTACTGTATTACAGAGTGGTGCTATGAATTATTTAACCAAGTCCCAGTGACTACCTATTAATCCCAATTTTCTGGGGCTGGGGATTTAGCTCAGCGGCACAGCACCTGCCTGGCAAGCGCAAGGTCGTGAGTTCAATTCCTGGTACCGGAAAAAAAAATCCCAAATTTCTGCTACAAAAAACAATAGTTCACAGGAGCCTTTGTGAGCAAATCTCAGCAGCCATCAGCAATAAATTCATTGGCATAAATCTGGAAATGTTGAAATGGCAGGTCACAGAGCATGCCCTAACTTGAAAGGTTTTTGATGTGCAATTGTAAACATCAATGTTCAGTCTCCCCAGTTTTGAAAACATTGCTATTATCTTAAAAACACTGTTTGCCAACTTGATAGGAGAAAAATGTTGGGTTCCATAGCTAGCACTGAAGTAAAAGTTATTTCACTGTGGTTTGCACGTGAGCTTCTGTGATTGTTAATGGAATTGAGAGATTTTTTTCACGTGTTTATCACCACTTATATTTTTCTTTTTCTTTTGACTACCCTCCCCCCACTTTTGGGCATGCATGTTTGTCTTTCTTGTACCAAGCTACAAGATCTCTTCAGATTTAACCCTTTGTTAATGTACTTTTTAATCTTTCCTGGCTTGCTGTTAGCCTTCATTTTATTTACAGTGTTTTTTCATTTGCAGAGTTTTTCATTTTTATGCAATGGGAGCAACTTTCTCCTTGATGTTTTCTGACTCTTGCCTGTAGACCATCATCAGTAAATCATACTCATGGCTTGCGGTAGCTCTTCCAGTGTTTCACAAGATTAAATAGCACCTGATTGCAAGGACCAACTCCTACACTTACTTTTCTGTAAGTGTCCTGTATTTGTTAGATTGTAAACTGCTCATTAAAAACACACTTTAATTGAGTACATACTATGTTCCAGGACTATTGCTACTGATGAGATAAATACTGGTACAAAACTACTTCTTGATGAATTCCACCAGCATGTCTTAAATAATTGATGCATATGAATAATGAATGAGAAGACCAGGGCAAGAAGGACAGAATCAACATGAATTTAAAAACCTGTCATTTGAAAAATTTATACTTCAATAGACTCTATTTTAAATTTATTATTCTTATTCTTATTATATTATTTGAGGTACTGGAAATTGAACTCAGGCTCTTCTCACTGAGCTAACGCCTAGTCTTTTTTATTTTAATTCAGGGTCCTGCTAAGTTGCTAAGTTCCCTGGCTGGGTTTGAATTTGTAATCCTCCTCTCTCAGCCTCCCAGAGTGCTGGGGTTAAGGCATGCACCACCACGGCTACATCACTCTGTTGGCTACTGTGTGTCAAGCGTCTACCTAAATGCAAGACAGGCTGGGGTGGGGGGTTGGTGGACACAGACCCTGTGGTTGTCAGCTTTCCATGGTTATAACAAATACTAGAGCTAATCAGCTTTTGGAGAGAAAGGGTTTATCTTTTAGAGAGAAAGGATTATTCACAGTTTGGGAGGGTTCAGTGCGTGGCTGCTTTGCCTCATTGCTTTTGGGCCTGTGGCAAGACAGCTCATTAAGGCAGTGGTGCACGGCAAAACTGCTCACACACAGAGTGGAAGGCAAAAGAGGAAAAGGAAGATACCAGGGTCCCACAAGCCCCTTCAAGGGCAATAATGACCTCCTGGGAGGCCTCCCCCTTAAAGTTTTCCACCACTTCCAAAGCACAAAGCTGAGGATCAGGCTTTAACATCTGGACCGTTGGGGACACCCCAGATCCAAACTACAGCCAGTGCCTTCACCTGAGGGCAGGGGAGTGCAGGTCACACTAGAGAGGAGCACATGGGACGGGAGACACGGTTTTGGTCACCTCTGGACAATAGTATCTGCCACCAACTGCATGTAGAGCCTTCTCATGGGGTGAAATACAGTGTACCATAGTAGTAGTGTAGGAGTGTAGACAGAGAAGTCCTGGACTCGTCCTGGAGAAGCGGAACAGGAGGGGCCAGCAGGCCGAAGGACGCCTGGCACAAATGCCATCTCTTGCGGTAGCTGCCACATCCTGCTGAAGTTCCTTAGGAACTAGGATCGGGGTAGGTTCCTCTTTTCCCCTTCCTGGTTATTCATTTACTGTAGTAAAATACATACGACGTAAACCCTACCACCTTAATCATTTTATGTGTGGAATCCAGTGGAATTCAATACATCCGCAGCGTTGTACAACCACCACCACCGCCCATCTCTGTAACTCGTGCCGTCCTATAAAGTGGAAACTGCGCCCACTGGACTCTCTGTCCCCATTCCCTTCTCCTCCCAGCCCCTGGCATCCACCATTCCACTCTCTGTTTCTTTGATTTTTACGACTCTAAAGCACCCCGCACCAGTGCATTCCTACTGTACGTCTTTTGGTGACTGGCTCATCGCACTTAGCATAATCTCCTCAAGACCAGACTGACCACGCATCAGCTGCACGCTGGGGCCACCTCCGGCCCCCTGACTGGGGCTCGGTCAGATCCTCAGTGCCTGTCCATCCTGCAGATGGGTAGGCTTCTAAAACACAAGCTGTGTGCGTGGGGGCGGGGGTTGCCAAACCCATTCTAGAACACCAATTTTGCCCCTTTGAGGAAAAAA